GGGCCACGGCAGTCCATCTCCTGCGTCTACAGGAAGTTCAGCACAGACTGAAAAGTGAGAGACGTGGACTTGCGCAACTCTGTGTGCCCAGGAGAAAATGGAATTTGCTGTTACCCTGGACGGAAGGACAGACCAGAGGTGGACACCATGATTGTCAACTCTCTCCCTTCTGGGAGGATGCAAGCCACTTTCTAATGTGAGAGCACACTGGCGGGAAGGACTGTTCGCCCAGGCGGTGGTACCACAGCAACCTGCACACACTGGGTTGGTTACACTCTGGAAGCGCTTCAGGAGCTATCGCTGGAATTGCCCAAAGCCTTAGGGCTCCTGCTCCTTTAAGTAGGGACACTCTTGTTTCCCTAGGGTGACCTGTATATTAAGAGGCCATTCCCCACACGTGGGGTTACCTGCAGGGCTTTCTATAGCCCGTCGCCCCATGGCTGCAACAGGGCTAGCCAGGGGCCTTCAGTCTGGACCTGATTCTTCCATGTCCAGGTGTCCTGTGGTCCCGAGTTCAACACCCTGGGGGCGCATAGTATTGAGACGTGCGCCATTATTGAGACATTGCAGGCATCCTGCACGGGCCCAACTCTGAGCCTCCGAATGGTCCCTTGCAGTAACTTTTTCAGTGGGCTCATACCTGTATGGCGAGGTTGTTCATTCAAAAGACCTGCCGCCTGTGGCAAGACACTGTTCCAGCCTCGCCCTTGTGGTTGGAGAGCCCTCAGTTTGTCCTCTAATGGGTGATTGTACCGTTCAACCATTCCTGCTGCTTGGAGATGGTAAGGCACATGCAATGTCCAGTTAATATCATTTTCCTTGGCCCACTCCTGGGTCTGTTGGGCAGTGAAAGGGGTCCCTCTGTCACTTTGTATTTCTGAGGGAGTCCCATAAAAGGCCCGTAAAACTTCCAGTGCTGTACTAGTAGTGTCTTGTGTAGCTTGGGGCACGTGCTGAGCAAAACCTAGGCCAGTAGCAGTGTCCCCTGCTGTCAGCAGGTACTGCAAGCCCATACTAGGAGCAAAGGGGCCTATGCAATCTATTTGC